AGAGAAGCATATATATATATATATATATATATATATATAAGTAAGTATAATAAGTATGCATATACGGTGGCACTTCAGAGATTCATGTTGATTCTTATATGTCTTTAATTAATGTTGACTTATTGTTATGTTTCAGTTCCGCCTTACATACTCGGTACATTATTCGTACTGACGTGCTTTTGTTGGGAACGCTATATTCATGCATGCAGGTATAGATAATCAGAGCCCTCATAGTAGATGAGGTTAGCATTCAGCGAAGGATCGGTAAGACTCCACGTCATTCGGAGTGCAGCCGAGTCTATGAGTCATCGTGTCAGAGTTTTGCTACAGACTTATGGGTAGGCCGGTACCCTGTCCCATATGATGTCAAATAATCTTAGAGGCTTTGTAGACAGAGGTTCGTTTTGTACAGTATGTCAGAGGCCTTGACGGCTCATATGTATTCATGTTTTAAGTATGATCGTTCATTGATACAACGCTTGCCCACTTATAGTTATACATTACAAGTTGTGGCCATGTTGGCCCATGATAGTTAGAAGAAAAAAAATGAGTTATAGAGTAGTTCGCTCGGGCCAGTACGGCACTGGGTTCCAGCCACGCCTCCCTAGGTTTGGGGCGTAACACTGGGAGGGGATTAAGTTCCTTAAGAAAACACTGTGAATTCAGTGAGCTCGGATTAAATTCTGTTTCTTCTACTTTTTTATTTATACGTTATTTTTCTTCTCCATAATTATTTTACAAATAAGTATACTAACAATCTTAAGGAACTTAATTTTTTTCTGTATTCGGAGATAAAAATCCTAGAGATTTTCTATTCCATTGGAGATTAAAATCTACGTGATTTTCTACTCTAGTTTTATTCGGTTTGAAGATATAAAAACTTCGCCGTTTATTAAATGTTTGTTTGTGTCATTCTTTTACAGAAATGACGAATGAGAACGGAAACCAGATTGTTCCTATGGTGACTGCCAATGCATCGACAAGCCGAACAACACCGGCATTGGTACCGGCACCGGCAGAAAAACCTGGAAAACTTTTCGATATTGATTTCAAGCGGTGGTAGCAGAAGATGTTCTTCTACTTGACGACTTTAAGGGTGTGTTTGGTATAACGGAAAATATTTTCCGTGGAAAATATTTTCTTGGAAAACAAGTAGTAATCTTATTCATTTTCCGGTGTTTGGTACGCAAATTAAGAAAAATGACTTCTCAAGAGTATTCATAAATAATTTAGATATAATAAACATGAAACCATAAACTTTCAAACCAACAACCTTACGGACCCACAAATTTCATAAACTTTCGAACCGCTAAACTTTCAAAATCGCGGAATTTCGAACCCGTAAACTATATTATTTCTAAACCCGTAAACTTCCAAACACATAAACCTTCGAACTCATAATTTTGAAACTTGTAAAACCATAATAAGCTAAAGTTGCCTAAAGAATCAAAGAGAAACGGCTACAACACTTTTTATATTAAAAACTTGACCTAAAAAGGTGAAACTATTCTATTTATACAAAGCTAGAATTTTCGGACAAAAATACCCTTTCGGAGGTTCTGCGGCCACACAATTCCATGTGTGGTCCGCACTTTGCTTCATCTTAACAGGACTTGGATCTTGCGGCCACAAAATTCTGAACCGCAGCCGCATCTCTCATTTTCTGCTTCGTACATTTCTGAGTGCGACCCCACATAGCTCTTCTGCAGACCGCACAAATGCAACTGCGGCCGCACATCCTTTGAACTTGAATTGAGAACTATCTCAACTTCTGCTCTTGCTTAGCTTCTGCGCCCGCACATTTCATGTACGGACCGCACTTTGCACTTGTCCTCTGACAAATTTGTCTTCACAATCTGCGGCCGCAGATGGAAATCTGCTGTCCGCACTTTGAACTTCTATGCCTGTTTTTGTCCTTGAGTTCAGATCACTCCTTCTTGAGTTGGATTTCATCTTAGTAGCTTATGTTCCAATACTCCTGCAATTAAGCATATTCATCAGTTTTCGGGAACACAACTAAATGCTTTTGGACTAAAACGAAAGCTAAAAGGCGCTAATAAGTAGTCAAAATCCCCACTTATCATAGGCAACTTTAGATTTTTCCTTTTACTTTGTTCGAGGCGAGAGGTCGTCCCCTTTAGTTTATAATCAGGGGAATTCCCATAAATTTTGTAAATATTTTTACCAGGGGAATGCCCCAAATTTAATGTAATCGGAGGCGGTGACAGATATCATGGAGTGAGCATAGTACAAACTTTTAGTATTTTCTTCTTATTTTATTTTTCTTTTCTTTTAGTTAGGAGGGGACGACCTCGAGCCTCTTGCATGTTATTTTTTTGTGTGTGTATTTGCCTTANATGTTGACTTATTGTTATGTTTCAGTTCTGCCTTACATACTCGGTACATTATTCGTACTGACGTCCTTTTGTTGGGGACGCTGCATTCATACCTACAGGTATAGACAATCAGTTTGATGAGCCCTCATAGTAGACGAGATTAGCATTTGGCGAAGGATCGGTAAGACTCCACCTTATTCGGAGTGACGCTGAGTGTATGAGTCATCATGTCAGAGTTTTGCTACAAACTTATAGGTAGGCCGGTTCCCTGTCCCATTTGATATCAAATAATCATAGAGGCTTTCTAGACAGAGGTTCATTTTGTACAGTATGTCAGAGGCCTTAATGGCCCATATGTATTCATGTTTTAAGAAAAATGGTTCAATAATACAGTGTTTTCTCGCTTACAGTTGTACGTTATGAGTTGTGGCCATGTTGGCCCATGATAGTTACAAAGAAAAAAAATGTTGCAGAGTGGTTCACTCGGGCCAGTGCGGCACTGGGTGCCAGTCACGCCTACCTAGGTTTGGGGCATGACATTTTCTTCCCTCGGGGTGTGTATAATTGACCATTCCTTGAACCATGCGAGAAGAGCCTAGACTTTCACTACATATTGTTGCATGCGTTCCTCTTTGGCTTCGAAGATCCCGTAGACCTGATTTACTACCAATTGGGAATCACATTTGATTTCTATGACATTGGAGTCTAGTCCCTGGGCCAGCTCGAGTTCTACAATCAAAGCTTCATACTCCGCTTCAGAGGAACAGTTCTTATGTCCTGTCTTAGGGTTTCTCCCGAAGGCGTGATTAGCACTACGCCGAGCCCGGACCCTTTCACATTGGAATTTCCATCAGTGAATAAGGTCCAAACTCTTGATGTCGATTCCGACACCGTCACTGCTTCTTTGCTAGCCAAAGGTAGCAGTCCTGGACAGAAATCGGTCACAAAGTCGGCCAAAACTTGTGACTTAATCATTGTTCTAGGTTTGTACTCTATGTCAAATTCACTCATTTCGACTGCCCACTTGGCTAGTCGCCCTGATAGTTCAGGTTTGTGAAGGATATTCTGCAGGGAAAAGGTTGTCACCACGGCTATCGGATGGCATTAGAAATAAGGCGTAAGCTTTCGAACGGCGACCACGAGAGCTAAGGTCAATCTTTCCAGATGTGGGTGGTGAGTTTCCGCTCCCGTTAAAATTGTACTAACATAATAAATAGGAGATTGCGTACCTTTGTCTTCAAGGACTAAAATGGCACTTACCGCTACCTCCAATACTGCTAAGTAAATCAGCAATCGGTCGTCTTTTTTCAATTTCGATAATAATGGAGGGCTCGACAAATACCTTTTTTAAATCCTTCAGAGCCTGCTAGCATTCCGGAGTACATTCAGAGTTGTTCTTCTTTTTGGGAAGTGAAAAGAAGTGATGACATTTTTCTGAAGACCGGGAACCCAACCTGCTTAATGCGACTAGTCTTCTTATCAAATTTGAACCTCTTTCACATTTGATAGCTGGTCAGGGATGTCTTCGATGGCTTTAATATTATCGGGATTGACTTTGATCCCCCTTTGCGACACCATGAACCCAAAGATTTTACCGGAGCTGACTTCGAATGCATATTTTTCGGGGTTAAGCTTCTTGTTGTGCTTCCTTAGAATGTCCAAGGTCTCTTGTAGATGTTTAAGATGATCACCCGTGTTCAAAGACTTAACCAGCATATTATCTATGTAAACTTTCATGGTTTTCCCTATTTGTTTCTCAAACATTTTATTTACAAACCTCTGATAAGTTGCTACGACATTCTTTAGCCCGAAAGGTATCACATTATAGAAATATGTGCCGAAGTTCATTGTGAACGAAGTTTTTCCTGATCCTCTGGGTACATCTTGATTTGGTTGTGCCCGAATAAGCATCGAGGAAACTCACTAACTCGGGACCTACCGTCGCATCAATCTTTTGATCAATGTTTGGAAATCAGAATGAGTATGTGGGACACGCCTTATTTAGATCCGTATATTCTACGCACATGTTAAATTTATTCTTCTTCTTCTTGGGGACTACTACTACGTTAGCTAGCCAGTCAGGATACTTTACCTCCCGAATTGAACCGATATTAATCAAACGAGTTACCTCTTCTTTGACAAATTTGTTTGTGACCTCGGTAATAGGGCATTTTTCTACCTCACCGATCCAAACTTAACTTATGCACGGCCACTTCTGGTGGGATACCTGTCATATCCGCATGCGATCACGCAAAATAATCAATGTTAAAGTTTACGAAATTTTGTAAATCTTGACCTGAGCTTGGGGTTTAGTCCTGTCCCCAAGTGAAACTTCCTCTCCAAGAACTTTTCAAACAATGCGACTTGTTCGAGTTCTTCCATTGTGGACTTTATTGTGTCCGTTTCTTCTAGTACCTGGAAATATCTTGGTGCCTGATAGGATTCTGACGACTCCTCATCCTGGTTGACTTCGTTCGGCATGGGAGCAGGTGTTCGGTTCCTATAAGTGCTATTCTGCATGATCCTTCCCTTTGCTACTGAAAATTAAGATCGTGTTCATTTCCCTTACTGCCGGTTGGTCTCCTTTTATTTTTTAGTTTCTACGGGAGTAGGGAATTTTAGTAGTTGATGATATGTTGACGGCACAACCTTCATCTTGTGTAGTCATGGTCTCCAAAGCATAATATTGTAGTCCATATCACCGTCTACCACTTCAAAAAGGGTCGTCTTCATTACCCCTTCGGCATTTGTAGGCAACGAAATTTCTCCTCGGGTTGTCATGCTTGCAAAATTGAACCCCGCGAGAAGCTTTGTGGCCGGAATGATACTTCCGGTCAACTTGGCTTGCTCCAGTAGTCTCAATTGGATAATATTGGCTGAACTTCCTGGGTCCACCAAAACATGTTTAATTTTAAAACCTAAAACATTAAGAGAAACTACCAGGGCATAGTTGTACGGTAGTAAGAATCCGTCTGCGTCCTTATCTGTGAAGGTGATGTCGTTCTCAACGACTTCCCAGAGTCTCTTTCTATGAGCCACTGATACCTTCGTCCTTTTCGCTGCCGAGAATGCTATACCATTAATCTCGTTCCCCCAAAAAATCATGTTGATCGTCAGACGAGGGGGATATTCTCCCGCTTTCGAGGGTTCTGGGTTATCCCAGTTACGACCGTAGTTGTTCTTAGCTCGTTCGTTTAAGAATTCTCTTAGATGGCCATGGCCATTTTTCAGCAATGTTGCCACCTCCTCGCGCAAATGTCGACAGTCCCCAATCTGGTGGCCTTTGGTCCCATGGTACTCGCACCATAAATTAGGATCCCTCTGGCTGGGATCAGATCTCATTGGCCTCGGGAATCGTGATTCCTTAATGTTCCTCATAGCCGACACAAGTTCCACTATGCTAACGTTGAAGTTGTATTCGGATAGCTTAGGTTAGGAAGAATATCGGGAGCCCATATCTCCTTATCTTGCAATGATCTGTTATTCCGCCATGATCAGATCTTCTATCGGCGCCGAATCTATCCGCCGACCAGAAACCTCTATCGCGTCTTTCGGCCCTTTCATAGGGCAAAAACCCACCTCTAGATGATCGTCGATCTATGTCGAAATAATCCTTTGACTTCTCTTTATTATTCTCCCGGTCTCGACCCTTGGTTGATGCCGGGAAACCGAGCTAGGCATCGTCAATTCTTATCTTCGGCTCGTACCGGTTGCAAACATCCGCCCATGTTGTTTCCTAGAACTTGAGAAGACTATCTTTCAATTTTCGGGAAGCGTCGGAACTTTTCGGATTCTGCCTTTTAGTAAATACTTCAGCTGCCCATTCGTCTGGTACGACCGGTAACAACATCCTTTCTTTATGGAATCTGGTCACGAACTCTCGCAACAATTCGGACTCTTCTTATGCAATCCTGAATATGTCGGCCTTTTGGGCATGTACCTTCCTTCCCCCGACACGGGCCTTGATAAAAGAATCCGCAAGCATCTCGAAGGAATCTATTGAGTGCTCGGGTAAAAGCGAATACCATGTCAGGGCCCCTTTCGTGAGGGTCTCCTCGAATTTATTCAGTAAGACTGACTCAATCTCATGTGGAGTTAAGTCGTTGCTCTTCATCGTCGTTATATAAGTGGTGATGTGCTCATGAGAATCCGAAGTCCCATCATATTTCGGCACATATTGCATCTTGAACCACTTCGGGATCAACTCTGGTGTCGTGCTTGGTTTGAACGACAACTGGGTGTATTTTTTTGAGTCCGGTCCTTTCAATACTGGTGGTGCACCCGGAATTTGATCCATTCGGGCATTTATTACCCTCTTAAACTGCATGAGTTCGATTTTAAATGGATCATTCTCATTGTTGTTACCAGATCCGCTACCGTTCTCCCCGGCTCTATCGAAGCCGACTTTGCCCCTCGGGGTGTTTTTGTCAACCCTCTGCATTATTTGGTTTGCGGGAGCACCGGGAGGAACTGATCCTTGTCCATTCGCATTGTTGGAAGCGCTCGACAACGCTTGCCTCAAACCCGTTATGACCTGATCCTGTCGTGAGAGGTGGCCCATAATAGCCTTTTGTTGATCCCTCAGGATTCTTACTGTTTCAGCGACGTGCTCGTCTTCAACATCATCAGGAGTTGCCTCTCGAACATGTCGTGGATATTGCCCGCCATTGATCGGAGTGACCTCGTCCCCCTCGTTGCTGGTATCACTGATTGAGGCTTCATGCTGAGGCTGATTTCCTTGGGCCTCAACGTTGTGTGTGACGTTGACATCGTTATCTACCATTTTTATGATTTTTGCTATGAACAAAAAATCAAACAGGTTAGTAATAGATGCAAAGATCAACTCAATTGCGCAACTATCTAAGCCCCACGGTCGGCGCCAAACCGTTTATCCGTAAAACGGTACAATTAAATTTATACGTGGTTTGTAGACAGTGAATCAATTTGATTATGAAATGATAAATAAATTAAATTAAAATGAAATACTTAGCGTTGAAATCGAGATAAGACAATAGAAAGCTTGGTTCAGGGAGCAGAACTTCCGAAGGCAGTAATAACAATATTAATAAGCAAGAAAATATATTTTTTATTGAGCTTTCAACATTTTGTAGCATAAGTATGTCAGATCATCCGTCGTCTTACAATGGTTGTTGAACTCACTATTTATACTTGCACATAGAGGACAAGGTCCTAGGATCAAGTCCCTCTTAAATGACAATTGTATGGGCCATTGAAAAATGTGTAACAACATGCTATGAATGTCATATTCTCTGTAACATACTACGTACTTAATGCTATAGAATATTCTGCATTGAATGTTCCCCAATAGCAAGCCTTTATTTATCTGTATGAGCAACATTCCCTTTAGGGACAATCGAGATTGCTGCTCCCGGGCTTGATTTTCATTTGCCTTGCTTTCCATCTGTCTCTGGTTCCACGTGACGCTCTATTATGCGAATATTTAAGATGAACATATTTTGCCCTATACAATAATATCTAAAAATATATATGGATAAGAAAAATGTCATTAATTTTAATAGTTATTTTCTATTACTACTGTTTCTTTCATATAGAAAGGACACAATATGAAGAAGAATGAATGACAATGTTATTATGCAAGAAAAGTAAGAGAAGCTGAGTTTCTTCTAACACCTCTTACATAATATATGTTTGTTTTGAATATGAGGGGGTTTAGATTGGCATTTAAGCTGGTCAAATCAGTTTTTAAGCTCTCTTTAGCTTTTTTTTAATATTTGGTAAAGTCAAAAAGTGCTTAAAATAAGTTAAAAACTTCTTAAAATAAGCCAAAAATAATAAGGTGGACAACACCAACTTATTGTTTTTTGACTTAAAAGCTATTTTTACTTAAAAGCCATTTTTTAAGCCAATCCAAACGGGCTTATGTATTTTTTTTCCTTGAAGTTCTTTTAAATGATAATTCAATGGTCAATAAGTCATAAATCGTTATGTTACACATTTGAATTATAATGTCTCATGATTACCACCATCCAATTGAAAAGACGTCGTTGGTAGGATGCATTAGAGAAAATAATGCATGCATTAGCTTTTGGTGTTATTAATCCCTTGTCCGGTATACTTTTTCAACCTATATATTACTAATGCAAGTATTAGTTATACATATTATTTGGTATTATCTTATGTATAACTAATACATAGCAAACTATGGTATTAGCAATACAAATACTATTAATGCATGCATTAGCATGGTTAAAGATAAAATTATCCTTGAAATTCCTTAAAGTTAAAGAATATGAAGGGTATTTTTATAAACAACTAATGTTTTCTAAAAGTTACGCAATATATTTTAATTTTTAATACACCGCACCAAACAATGTATAAGAAATAATCACTGCATAACTAATGCTTGCATTAATAACTCCTGTATTACTAATACACCTTATTCAACACTATTCTTATACACCCTACCAGACGACCCCTTAATTTTATACAATATAACTTTTTTTGTTTAAGATATATAGATATAACTTTTAGTCGATGTTCAGTAAGGATAAAATTTAAGCTAGTAATGGCTCTTTGAGACTGGATTAGGCAACCTAAGTGCATGCACAAAAAGAAAAAGATACATTATGTGTGGAAATGACACTAGGTAGTCACTTTTAAGCATGTTATTTAAATATATTCACAATTTATAATTATTTAAAGAATAGCCAATTTCGCTCAAACTTCAGGACACAACGTCCTAGAGTTTAAACTTCAAAGTTCAAACTTCAGGACATCGTGTCCTAAAGTTCGAAAATCATATCCAGAAGTTCGAATCTTATGTCCTGAATTTTAAACTAGTAGTTCAGAAATTCAGGACACTTAGTTCTGAATTTGAAATTAGTAGCTCAAAAATGCAGGACACTAAGTCCTGAATTTTCAAATTCATGATTCTTAGTCCTGAAGTTTTGGTGAATTGTAGTTGGACACTTAGTCTTGAATTTTTAAATTAGCAACTCAAAAATTTAGGACACTAAGTCTTGAATTTCCAAATTCAGGATACTTAGTCCTGAAGTTTGGGTGAATTGTAATTCAGAAATTCAGGACACTTAGTCCTAAATTTAAAATTAGCAGCTAAAAAATTCAGGACACCAAGTTCTGAATTTTCAAATTCAGGTTACTTAGACCTGAAATTTGGATGAATCGGCTTGTAAATTGTAGATATATTTTAAATAGCGGGTTTAAAATGGCTATTGCTTCACTTCGCCCACCTTATGTGGGGGTTTGACTCTACGTAGGAGTGATAATTTGAGCCCAAGGCCATTTATCCTGCCCAGCTCACCTAAGGTTGGATTAGTCATTGACATGTTCATTTGTTGAACTTAACCCATATCAATTCCTCTAAAGTTTGGCTGATTTTAGTCCAAATTGATCTATGAATAACTTTGCTAAAATTTCTTTAAATAATTCTTTCTTATTTGATATGTTATATACGACTATAATAAAAGAAAAAAAGTTTTTTTTGATAATTAAATAATTCATAAGAAAATAATACACATTAATTAAAGCTTGATAAGAGTTAGAGTGTTGGACGGGTTGGACTCTGACCCAAAATTAGGAGTTTTTCGTATATAGAGATTTTAAACTTATTTACCCGATTTTGTCTAACTTTTCATATTTACAGAAAGTAACTAAATTTTTTACAAAATATATAGAAATTCGGTCGAAATCTATAATTTATCTACAATTTAAATACACATTTTTGTACAAAAAATTCGGTCAAAAGCTACAAGTTACATATAATTTATACACATCTTATATACAATTATGTAAGTTGTAGATATTTTACTTACCGTTTTGATACTCGACATACAAAATATATACAATTTGTTTATGTCTTTTTTTTTGAGTTTCAATATGAAATTTCAACCAAAATTACTTCGGATCTTCACCAAAATGTCTCAAAATTGAGATATAAACTCCAAAGGATATTCCCAATCATTTACAACAACCCCAATCCAAACAAAAAATAATTTTGCAAATTTCGATTTTCTAGTTCAATGATTATAAGCTTTCTAATGGATTAACATATTTTTCAATCCAATATGCTCGCTTTTGATTAATACTATTCTTTTATTGATTCCGTAAGCTAAAAGAAATTAATGATCTTCCCTTATTTAAAAGTGATAATTCGTTCATTGTTTAGCGTAGTAAAAGAAACAAAAGATATAAAGAAAGAAAAAACATCATAGAATTGCTTGATGCAAAATCTCTTTGTTCTCGTAAAGATATGGGTGAAATTAAGGAGAAAGAGGCCAAATATTCTTCTGTTAATTTATAATTTTAGTCTTGGCGTGAGAGAAAGTATGGAAGATTAAAATCTAATACCTATAAAATTGGTAATTAAGTTAAAACCTCAATAGTGATGGTAAATAAGTTTCAAAATTAGTATAGATAAGTAAAAAATTTCCAAAAATTTACCCGATCTTGACAAAGCCCATTTCATCCGAGTAACTTTAATCCGCCTATTTATTGACTCAGCCTATTTTAACGCGCCCAACATCATTTTGACACCCGTAACTCTAAGTTACACATGCATTTTGAGTTCTTGACTCAATAGACACGAAATGATGGTCTTTTTTTCTCCCCTACAGAAAGGGTCATAATAATCTTTATATAAGGTTGTGATTTGCTTGATGACTACGACTTCCTCTATTTCTTCCCTCTAAAAGTCGCTAATGAAAGTTCACTTGGATTTTAGTTTCCTCCTTTTTCAAGGGTTTTCTTTCCGCCTTCCCAGTATAGTCAACACCAGAGTGTTGATTCTCATTCTATACATATTCAACAACTTGGGAGTTTTAAAAGTTTAAGTTGTATGCATTATACAAACTAGTAAAGTATGTAATTGCAAATGGTAAAGCCGAATACGAGTAATGTAGTAAAGGGGAAAATTGGAAGGTACCCAACTGTTGCTTGCAGAAACGATTTATTTTGCTTTCGTTCTTCTCCTTAAGATTTTAAATGGTAACCCTTTTTATGACTCTTTGAATGAGGGAAAAATGTTGAGTGATTAGATTTTAGAAGCGGGCCTGTAAACATTCAAGAAGACTTGACAAGGTCAAAGTCTACGAAAATGATTAATCAATTGTTATATTATACTATTTCTGATGACAAGAAACAGAACACCAAACTACCACTTGGGTTGATTTGCTTGTTCTTTATGTGCTACCAGCCCAATATTTGTTGTTTTTGGTAAGTACGACCAACCGAATATTTATTAAAAATTTATTTCTTGGTAAACCATGTTTTAAAAATTAATTTTGTATGCATGTTAATCTGCTGGTTTTTCTTGCTCATGACTGAACAAATAGCCTATGTCATTTCAAGCATCTGGCAGAAGCTTGGGGTTCCGTTCTCTGGTTAGTGATCATGATTCTACGTCCAGTCCGTTGTATTTTTTTTGGTAAATTTGCCATTTTCTCCACCATTGATGTTTCCTATTAATCCATTTTCATGTTTTTGCAGCTGTATTATTGTTATATTGCTTTAAACTCAAGAGGATTTAACGTTGAAAAATGTCAGCTTATCGATTCCTAGATGAAGGTCCTTCTTATGAGGTATCGTGTTTAATTCTCTGTCTTTTGTAACAAAAGTTTTGTTATTAGCATAATCATCATTATTATTACTATCATTTGATTAGTGTTTCTGATGTTAATAAGTCTGTAAGAAAGTTTTGATCGTAAGTCCATGTAATGTAGCTTTATATCTTAGTGAGGATTACATATCTTCCAATTTATCTGAAAGTGGCCTTTGATTTATCTTAATTGATAGTGGTTGTTTTCTTTTGATTCAGTAACATGATAATTGTCTAACAACCGATACAGATAAGCGCAGGGACCATGATCATGATGCTGTTAACTACGCTAGTCGCACTTTCTTAATTAACAGTTAACAACTTAGTGATTTCATTAGTTTTGCCATCTGGTCTTAGCTACATCAAAATCTGACTAAAGATCTGTTCTTTAGCCTTTCAATAAGCAGCTATTCGGTCATAGTACATGATAATATCAACTTCTTCTTGATTTCTAAAGCTAGGGGTAATTTGTAGTATTTTAGAAGATCTGTGCAATTAAAAGTTGCAAAGAAAATGGAGATTTTTAAAGTTATTGTCATTCATCTCTTAACGCACAATTAACCCATTTGAAGAACTTCAACACAGGTCCAATTCTCAGAAGATGAGAATGAGGATGTGGTTCGTGCTATTGAACTCTCTCTTCAAGAATCGCAGACAAAGGAAATAAACATGGGTGGTAATCATGTAGCCTTTTCATCTCACTTTTTAAAGCTAAATTCTGTCCCAGTAAGAAGTTATAGTATATTTAGCTCAACCCATAATTTTCACAAATTTGGAGCTTCACTTGTTATTTTTCCAGAACTATAAATGCTCAACAGAGGTTTCTTACTAGGCAAGTAGTCTCATATATAAGTTTGGTCAATTTTTGTCAGACATTGAGTTTCCCCAGATTGATGAAGTAGAAGAACTTGCACAAGAGTTGGAAGAAAGCACATTATCTTCTATATATTTAAGGTAAATATGGCATGTGGATCAACCTCTCATTCCCTTGTTATTGCAGTATCATTCCTTCATTTTTAATTAGATTTACTCTTTATGAAGACGAGATTAGGCTTCAGACCGAATTGTTTATCTGCCATAGATTCGACAAAATCGTGTAGATAATGAGACGTTTATGTGAATTTTAATCTTCATCAACCAGCGTGCTACTCCTCGGCTACTTCAGTAAATCTGCTGTTAAGGATAACGAATTAACCTCTGAGGATGTGAGTCTTATCAAGGAAGTGATCAAGATTTGAATATAAAGCAGTGGCTGCAGAAATAATTCATAATCCTGATCCTTGCACATTTACTATGCACAACCAACAGACTACCCAACTCATGACAAGTTTTGGTTGAACACTTTTTTTACAGATTTCACTAGTTCCATGCTCTTCTACTTGTTGAAAACATGCAATATTCAATTAAATTCATGATATATTGTCTATTTCCCTTTAGGATGTTGGGGGATCATGTTTCTATGAGCACATGGCCCGAAAATAGAATTACTGTTTCATAGCCTAGTTCATCTTTTTAACATAGTGAAAAATAAATTTACTGCTTCATAGATTAGTTCATCTTTGTAATTGTAACATAGTTATCCTTCTAAATTTATGGAAGCAAAGCTACTATAACTGTTTCGCATGTCACGTTTATGTAATTTTCCTACCACCTCCATCTTGCCGCAATCTGATTAAGATCAGATATCTGTTTACTAAAGCTTTACATCATTACAGCGCCAGTACTGGAGGCATAGAACTGGAATGGTGGAAACTTTTTAAGGAGTTTAATCCATCTGTCCCTACATCAAAGTAAGTGCAACCCAATTCAAGTGCTTGTAACAGAAATATTTACAATTAGGTATTTAGTTATCCATGCGAAGAGAATAAAATCACGCTTCTATTTGTTGTAAAACTAGTTCTTCTGGGAACTAAATTCTTGAGAAGGTTGTTAATCCTCAATTTTGGAAATAATAGCAAACAATATAAGAAAGTAAAGCAGTTCATGATTAATAAATACATTTTCTTATGTTTATCCTTAGCTTTCCAGGTTTCATTAACATAGTGTCATTCTGCAGTATATTTACCTTAATTATTCCATTTAATCAAATTGGCGTTGGCTTTCTTTTCTGATTTTGAAGGGGCACTTCTTGGTGGAGAAAGAGTAGCAAGCAGCGCAATACTCTTGTTTGTGATGTTTGTGAGGAGCAAGTTTGTGTTCCCTTTCCTCAAACGTCTTTCCCTTTTTTGCAGTTTGTATTCATTCTTTATTGAAGTAATTTATACTTGTAAAATGTGAAGATGATTACAAAGTTTCTGAATAAGTTAACTGATGCTTCTATTATGTTCGATTATTGCCTTTTAACATAAGTATTGGTACAGATTTGCTCGGCGTGGTTAAGGTGTACCTACTGGGGCCAGACTTTCTGTCAAAAACATACATCTGATGGAACCCCTTACTGCTGTGCCTGTTCGAGATTTAAGGTTTTTAAACACCTTCTATATTATTAGATTGAAGATGCTCCTGACTGAATCTATGTTCATTAACAAAATGAATGTCAATAATGAGCTGAGCTTTGTTGAGCCTGAAGCACTAAAGTAACTTGTCATGGACAACCCCATTTTCCCTTGAGTATCTTCTGACTCAACCTTTCAGATTTTATCCCATCATATAGAGAGATTTATAGACATGCACATATATTGCATGATGAATATTCCTGAACAGCAAAATACACGACAAGCTTTCTAGTTGCGAGACCGGCTTTATGCAATAATAACAGATGTCAAGTTAAATATATACCTCCTTTAAATTTATTTTACGGTCGCTCAACTTATAACATGTTAACTGAGAACTTACATATTTGCAGATAGGAGATATGAAGTTTATCACTCTGAGTGATGGTCGAAAACTTTGCCCTGATTGTCGTCATACAGCAGTGATGGATCCTGAAGACTGTATGCCCCTTCTCGATGAAGTGCACAGATTTTTCAAAGGATTGAACATGAAAATCAAATATTATATTCCAATTCTGTTAGTAGATAACGACGAGCTTATCAGAATCCATAAAAAGGTGAGTAGAAAATGTGTCAACATTATCAAGAGGAATTCTATTACTTCCATCACATCTTTTAGTAATAATAGCATTTGATTGGTTTCACAGAGCATACTTGGCTCGACGCTTTATGAGAATTTTCAATTGGACGCCGTAAATTATGTGAGTACATCCCTTTCTATTATAAACATCTGTTAGATGGGTTGATGTCTTTTGCAACGGAATGAAAGTTTATACAATTTTTATGGTACGCAATTAGAGGCAGATCCAAAATTTAAACTTAATGGGTTTTAATTTTATGTTCTCACTATTGAACACTACATTTTTTGCAATTATGAGTTTAGATTTTAAATATCTAAAGAAACTTCATTGATTTATATATATATGCTCCGTGTAAAAAATGTTGAGTTTAGTTGAACCTGTTGATTATATATTGCATCTGACTCTGTACACAGTTATCCACTCTTTCATTTTGCATTCATTCACTCATGGTAGGTGACAAGGTCAACACAAAGGGGTGAAAATATTAAAGTGGTGAAAGAAGTAGAACAACTGCCTCCAGGACGCAAAGTGAAAGCAGTGCTGATTTTATATGGCTTTCCAAAGTAATCTTCTTCTAAACTTCTATATTTTCACATAGATGGTCTTATGATGGATTCAGTTTAGAACTCCAATCAATTTTCATCTAATATTTCTGAGAAAGTAAATAGGAAATATATCCCATGCTCTTTATCTAGTTAGGATAAACAAACAAGCGATTTCAGTTTTGAACTGTTCACGGTCTTATTTCTATGCAATGAGATATGCTGCCCAATTCGTTTATCTAGAAACATTTGCATTTTAAAATGAATGTGCATTATCGTATTCTAATTAATGAACAATCACAAAATTCTAGTTTTGATAACATATCCTAGAATAGTAAGTATCGCCAGCTGAAGAAGAGAAACTGATCTAGAGTAGTAGAGATGTTATTCGCTATGTTGCTCGGACTCTCCGAAAATGTTGCCGGGTGTGTGTCGGATCCTCCAAATTTTGGAGGATCCGACACGGGTGCGCCCTTCATTTTGGAGAGTCCGCGCAACATACTTATTCGTTTTTAAAGACGAAATATATTTGGAACACTAACAGCCATTTCCAGCTATTGTTTTCACCCAAGGGTAGGTTCTTACACACTACTCTTCCCATGAAGTCACCAAAATTGTGACAACTAAGAAATATTGAATGGCTATCAGCAGGGGTTTCAGATGTTGCTGTCCATATTCTATCCATTAGTGGTTTGGTTTTCTTGACTTAGATCGAAGTTAGTAAAGATATACGTACCTTTTTTTTTCCCAGAAATAATTAGCTTCCAGTTTCATAACGAGTTCTCTAATTTAATATCATGTTATGCAATGGTCTTTGTAAGCAGGATAGCCTTGGGAGCAACTTTGGCTCATGAACTGATGCACGCTTGGATGCGGGTTCAAGGTGGTTTCCAGCTCTTTACTATTAAATTAAGCTTGTTGCTTTTGTCTATTTAAACTAAAAAGAGTTTGAATTTTATGCATAGATAATCTGTAGAATTCTTACACCATTAGGTTAATGTATGGGTCAGAATCCGACCCCACGATAATTAACGAAGCTAATCCCGTCTTAAGCTAATTCATGATTAATTAGTGGCACGACCACTCAGAATTAACGATATTCAACCCGCATCTGATTCGATCAGCAAGGCCATGGCCCATCCGCCACCATGAAGGCGAAATCTCAACGTGGTCACGGCCACTTATTGCCAGCTCACGAAGCTCACAGCTATAAATACCAAGAGAGGAAATCCTAGAAAGGGGGACTTCTTCTTCTTCACTATTGACGAGAGAAAAAAGAGATAACGAGACCCATATTATGGGCAAGAGGAACACCATTGTAAGGCTCTGAACCTCTTCATGGAGAGGCAGACCAAACCAATATTATCAATAAAGGCTTCTAATGTTTCTCCCCCTAATCCTGAGTACTTATTTTCGTTTCCTTCATGTGGTCCAACGGATTATTACGGTTTGCTATGATTTTTCCGTGATTTATTTATATTGTTTTATACTCATAAGATATGTGATAACTTTTGAGCAAACAGTTAAGTTGACCTACAACAATAAATAACTCTTTATAACAAACCTGATTTGGTAACCGGAAAATAGAGTAACAAGCTGTTATAGCCGGCTAAATAAAGTAAAAAAATTTACAGTATATATAACTTAAATCTAACTAAAGTAAAGAAAAGCAGCTTGTGGAAAACCACAATCCTCATGAATCTACCTTTTTAGTTCAGCAAAAGAGAGAAGAAAAGCAGAAATGTCCTTCTCCCCTACCTTCCCTCCTATTGAAAAGAAATTTTATCACTCTTTTTAAACAATTTTCCTCTCATATTCACAGGTTATCCAGGACTGTCCCTACCCATCGAAGAAGGTCTTTCCCAAGTTATGGCTCACAAGTGGCTAGAATGGCAATCTTTTGCTGGTGATGACAACATGAAAGGTACAAGCGATAAAGCTCAGTTCTTGAGAAATCTGAAAGAGTTTCTGAAATATGGTATAGAAAAAAGACATTCTGAGGCATATGGTCATGGATTTAGAGAAGCGAAATGGGCAGTTGAACGTTATGGTTTAAGATACACACTGGAGCATATAGCTCGTACACGAAAGTTACCTGAATAACTTACTTCTTAATTAGGTGATGTTGTTAATCTTTGTGTTAATTTATTCATCAATATATTTTTTGTCGAACCTATAAAAAAAATTATGTACCTTTTTAACTCCAAATTGAGGTCATGCAATGCAATGATGTTTAAGTTTTCACCCATAATTGATTCTTAGTTCTGAATGCAATGATGTTTTAGTTTAAACCAAGGAAAACCTTTTTCACCAAAATGAAAAAAAATGACTTCTCTCCCTTGCGTACGTAAGTTAATTATCTTAAAATTATCTTGAGCTTTAACTTCACGATACTTGATAAAGCTTAGACATTACATTAATCTTTTAGTACTCAAAATTTTCATCAAATAACACTCTAATTTGTTAATGTTATTTTAATATATATTCTTTTCCAAAAAAATGCTTTACACTTACCCAATCAAACACAAGAAAATATTTTTTATTTTTAGGGAAAACACATTTTTCGGGGAAAATAACTTCCGTAACAAACACATATATCTTCATTTATTTTTCCTTTAGTTTTTGTTAAGTTTTCATTGTCTTTCATTAGCGAGAGTGACTTTTGTCTTTCCGCGATAATGTCATTGTTCCTTATTTTTGAGAGTAGGTTTATTTTGGTCCCTCAAATATAACCCTGAGCATATTTAGTCTCTTAAGTATGCTAAAGTGGAGCACCTTTAGTCTCACTGATAGAATGTGTTCAAAAACTAATGGCGTTAACCAACTCATTCATGAAGCAAATCTTTTGTTCTAAAGCAAATCGTTTTCTCTCCTTTTATAGGATAATGCAAATTATCACTTTAATTCCTCATTTTTAGATAATAATGTCTTCTAAAATTTTGACCTTGAAAATATCCCTTTTGTGTCAGTTTTCAATAAGAAAATGATACCGTATAGCCGGCGTGAAAATAATAGCCGAAAAAAATATAAAATTTGTATATTATTTTGTGTGTGTGTATATATATATATATATATATATATATATATATATATATTGTATGTTAATATACAAAAATTATATACTTTTCGGCTACCACATATAAATATATAGTTTCTGGCGCGGGTTAAAAGTGGTAATACAATCTACTTATTCGTTTTGCTTCAATAGTATGCCTAGAGGGATCTTAGTAGCTCTATTTTTCTCAAATTTTAACTCTTCTTTTTGGAAAAATCAACTGAAATTTTTAAAAGTACAAGTTTCAACGTTAAAATTTTTAAATTTATCAGCTATGTACTATTTTTAAAAGTAAAAGTTTCAACCCCGTAATTGATCTTGGACAGATTCTGTCATTGAGACTAAATGTGCTCCACTTTAGTATACTTAAGGGACTAAATATGCTCAGGGTTATATTTGAGGGACCAAAATAGACCTATCATCAAAGATAAGGGATAATATTTGCCAAAAACTCCTCTAACTTCTACCAGTCAACCAAAAACCGAGTTTTTTTTTCTTCCATTTGGCTGTTACCTTGCTTTTTTCAAAGACACTTTATTTTTTATCCCAACGTACCCTTTACTTTCTGGAAATATGATGATATCTCCATTAGATACTTCACGATCACATTGACTTTTGGCTGTACAAGCAATTCGGAGAAACTTTGATTATTTGTCGGATTCCAATTATTCTTTCTTGCTGTAGACCAGATGGAGAGAAAATAAGAGCTTTTTTGTTTCCTTATATCACCTAGGCTGCATAATGTCTGTATGGAGTAATAAAATAACCTCAAATATAAGTAAGGAGAGTTATACCAACAACAACAACAACAACAAACCCAGTGTTTCTCACGAGTAGGGTCTGTGGAGGGTAAGATGTACGCAGCCTTACCCTTACTCCTGGAAGGGAAGATAGGCTGTTTTCGATAGACCATCGGCTAGAGAACGACTGAAAAAGAAAAAGTAATTGCAACAAGTAGGAATAAAAGCAAGATGAAATAAGATCGAATTCAAGATGCAGTCAAACTCTAGGTAATAATAGTCATCTATGAATAAAAGATATCATCCTAACACTAATGCTAGCGAACTGCGTAAGACAAAGATGAACGCTCGACTACCTACGAACCTTCTACCCTAATCTTTGACCTCCATACACTCCTGTTTAGGGCCATGTCCTCAGTCAGCTCCAGTCGTGCCATGTACCGCCTAATAACCTCTCCCCAAGACTTCTTAGGCCTACCTCTACCCCTCCTGCTGCCCACCGAGGTTAACCGCTCGCACCTTCTAACTGGGGCTTCTATACTTCTCCTCTTAACATGCCCGAACCATCTCAACCTCGCCTCCCGCATCTTATCCTCCACAGGGGACACTCTCACCTTTTCCCGAATAACTTCATTCCTAATCTTATCCAACCAGGTATGCCTACACATCCATCTCAACATCCTTATCTCAGCTACTTTTAGCTTTTGGGTATGAGAGTTCTTGACTGGCCAACACTCTGCTGTATACAACATAGTTGGTCTAACTACAACCTTGTAGAACTTACCTTCAAGTCTCAGCGGCACATTCTTATCACACAAGACACCGGAAGTGAGCCCCCACCTCATCCATCCTGCTCCGATACGATGCGTGACATCTTCATCAATCTCCCCATTACCTTGTATTATAGATCCAAGATACTTGAAACTACCTCTCTTGGGGACGACTTGCGTATCAAGCCTCACCTCCATATCCCCTTCTCGAGTACCGTTGCTGAACTTGCACTCCATGTATTCTGTCTTGGTCCTGCTCAACTTGAAACCCTTAGACTCTAGGGTCTGCCTCCAAACCTCCAGCCTCTCGTTAACACCACCCCGCGTCTCGTCAATTAAAACTATGTTATCCGCAAATAACATACACCATGGCACCTCACCTTGAATGTGTCTCGTCAATGCGCCCATCGCCAAGAAAAATAGGAATGGACTAAGAGCTGATCCCTGGTGCAACCCCATCATAACCGGAAAGTGTTCCGAGTCTCCTTCCGCTGCCCTAACCCGAGTCTTAGCTTCATCATACATGTCCTTAATCACCCTAATGTAGGCTACTGAGACCCCTTTAGCCTCCAAGCATCGTTAGAGCACCTCTGTCGGGACTTTGTCATATGCTTTCTCTAGGTCAATGAACACCATGTGCAAGTCCTTCTTCATCTCCCTATACCGCTCCACCAATCTCCTCATAACGTGAATGACTTCCATAGTCGAACGCCCCAGCATGCAAACCAAGCTGGTTCTCAAAAATGGACACACTGGTCCTCACCCTCACTTCAACCACCCTCTCCCAAACTTTCATAGTATAACTTAGCAGCTTAATCCCCCTATAATTATTGCAACTTTGGATATCGCCCTTGTTTTTATACAGAGGAATCTCGTACTCCACCTCTATTTATCGGGCATCTTCTTCGTCCTAAAAATGACATTGAACAGCTTAGTGAGCCACTCCAAACCTGCCTTACCCGCATTCTTCTAAAATTCTACAGGTATTTCATTTGGCCCGATAGCTCTCTCCACAGGTACAAGGCGAGTTATACCAATTAAAAATTTTGCAAACAAGGGAGATATCACAAATGGTACACGAGTAATGTAGTAAAGGTAAGAAAAAAACTACAGAATAAACTTTTACATGCACAAAAGACACTTTTAAGGTTTTGTCTCATCATATGGGTATGCATGGACTATATCAGTTTTGATTGGTTTGGTTTTATCCGGATTTTTCTTTTTGTTACATGAATATCATTTGTATCTTATTTTAGTAAGATTATAGATAAAGTCTTGATAAGTAAATATATGTAAAAAAAAAAAAACATATGATCTATTAAATATTCTTATGGGAGATTTTCTTTAGTAACACACGATAATTATTTTCTCAGTCATCTAACAATAACTTTTCATTGATGTACGCTTTCAAGGTTAATCAAATTTAATAATTAAACATAAAATCAATATGATACCTAAATAATGATATGTTCCATTTAATTTTAGATTATCGAGATACCATTTCAAATTCAAAAAAGATATAAGAAATCTTGACATATGAATATGGAAGAACAAAGAGATGGTTGACGTATTACAATAACACTTGATAAGGAAGTGATACAACCTAATTATTTAAGGTAAATAAAATTGAATGAACTTCATAATTCTATTAAATATTATATCCCATGAGAAGATCGTAAATATTTCTAGACATTGTTTAAATAAAATTCTACTATATAAAGTCTTAAAAGTATATATAAAAATTATATATTTATATGTCGATTTGGTTTACTCATTACCAAACTAAAATAAAACAACCTAATTTAATCGGTTGATTTAAGGGAAATTACCAGCTATGTCCATTTATAAGTAGCTCATTACAAAAATTGGCCAATTGATAAAATATTACTAATATTAGCCAAATTAGCCAATTAGCTATTTGTAGCAAAAAATATCAAATTTTTGCTTTGTTTTGAGTGGGTGTTATTAGAATAGATTGGGCACAACTTAAGGAGCTTGAATCTCAGTTTTGGGATGATTTGGTGAAGTTTTGAGGTGGTTTGAATTGAAAATTCGAAGTAAAAGCTGAACATGAAAAAAAATGATGTGTATCACATATGTATCAATTGTGTATCACATGTATATCCATGTATACCTGTGTGTGTGATACATGTTTGATACATGTGTCGCAGAAGACTTTTTTGAACTCGATTTAATTACGAATTTTGATACAAAACCAGTCCAAATCACCTCCAATCTTCCTCAAATTTTGTATATTGACTTATCTATATATTTTCAATGAATTTCAACTATACCCATTGAAAAAGATCCCTTTTTGTTTAGATTTTTGGAATATTGTATAGATTTTTGTATTTCATCACCTTATTTGCTATCCCGTCCATGAAATTTCCTTTCCGTCTTGTATCTAATGTTGCTAATCACGCTTAAAAATATGGAAGATGATTTTTGCATGTGATTCTTTGAGAGAAAGAATTCTATTATTTGGTTTTTTAATTTTTGTTGGCTAGTTTTAGTAAGTCTATGACTAATGGCTAGAGGTTGGTAAGTTGAGATCTATTTGGGACATTTGTGTAAGTTTTCCTTGATTTAACTTCTCAATTTGGTGTGGTTTTCCGATTTGATTTGAATACCCCTCTAGTCTCATGCATGCATGTTTGTGTTTTCTTTCTTTACTTCTCC